TGAATGTAAACAATAACAAGCTTCTTAAAACCGGAAGAAGTTTAGAAAACTTCCGGTGTATCCCTCCGCTTATGTTATGCTTACGAGGCACTCTGTGAACAGGCATACTATTCTAGGAAGGTTTATTAATGTAATTTGCGCTTAATTTTACCATTCATAAGAGTTTCCAATAATTTATAAATTCTAATTGGTTGTAAGCCTAAAACAAATGTAAGAAAATTAATATCACAGCTTAAATAAAGTGTAAGGTTCGCCATGTTTCGAGTGTTATCCCTTTATTCGGCTATATTTGTGTAAGATATCACCGTTAGTTATTTTTTGGGTTCCATCTTGCAGGGCATAGCATGCTTACGGAGTCTGCCAAATTCTTATGTTGTTTGCTTCGTCGAAATTTAAAATTAAAAAACGCGTTTATTGTAAACACTACAAGTATAATAATATTGGATGGCACCCTTTTTCAAGCTTAGGAAGCTTAGGGAAGCAAGCTTTCTAGAAATCAATCGGAAGTAGCAACCCGGAGGTTTTGCTATGAATTTTATCCCTTAGCGCTATCTGTGCTTAGCTTTACACGGTAAACCATCCAAAATTTTGAAATTTTCTCAAATGTATCATATTAATTATATATACTGCTATACCAAGCTAAGTTATAGACTAGTTAGGGCCACGAAATGGGGCTTAATTTGGTCCCACTGTGCAATCTATGAAAAAACGCGGAAATGACTTCTAACTGTGTTTGATAGTCAGATAGCCATAGTGCGTGGTATGATTCGAAGCGACCAAGCTGCTAATCCCGTGAGCAGTGATTCAAGGTGTCGTTGAATTTGCTAAATCCTATAAGATAGAAGAAAAAAAATTTTACTGTATCAATCTTAATAGAATATTCCTTTATTTTTAAAGTGCGTTTATAATAGAGGCGTAAAAAATTAGAAAAATTTTGCTCATGATCTGAATCTATATAATGCCCCATATCTCTCCTTAAAATTAACCTATGATTTTGAAACTTGATCAGATATATTATATTAATTATATATTCTACCTGATAATTATAGAAACTTAATGTGCGTCATTTTACATATCAACCTCAAATGTATTTTTCGACCGTTGAATAGGTTGTTTTTTTTTATGAACGTGAGGTGTTCGATGTTCTACTATAGGTAATTATTTTTCAACCTCAAGCGTAGATTTATATACACTGTTCAAAACAATTAAAGGATATTGAGGTTGTGGGTTGATCTTGCACCTGAGGAATTGTTTGAATGGTTGATGCGTTATCGACAGACGTAGTAGTCTATTTGAGATAAAAATGATATTTGTGCATATGAAGAAAAATAAAAAAGGTGTTTCCTTAAAATAAAATCGTTTTCATTGAGGGGTATGATTTCCCCGGGCGGCCAGCAACGTTGAACACCTTTGAGGCATCGAGTCAAAGAGGTTATTAATGAGGGTCTGGGGTATTCAGTCCCACTCCTCCAGAAGAGCTCTTTCCAGTTCTTAAAAGAGTTTTAGGGGATGATAGGCTTCCAGCAATTTGTCTGCTTAGAATATCCCAAATATACTCGATTGGATTTATGTCCGGAGAATACGCTGGTCAATCCAATCGTATCTTTCCTTCCTCCAAAAGGAAATCATTTACCAAGTTAGCACAGTGTGGCTTTTAATTGTCGTCCGTTAACATGAAATCATCTCCAATTACTGCAGCGTAAGGGACTACAATAGGTCTCAGAATCTCATCCCTATATCGGCGACCGGTCAGAGCTCCATTTCGAATGATATGGAGATCGGTGTGCCCATCAATGAAGATGCCAGCATAGACCATCAGTCTCCCACAGCCAAATCCTACATTTTCTTGCACAAATGCGGGAATATTTCCGGTGCAACCTTCCCTCCAGCTGAAAATACACCTATTGTGCGGATGAACAGGAAAACGGGACTCGTCAGAGAAAAGAATATAGCGCCATTCATTTCTTCTCCAGTTCACGTGCTCTGTTGCCCATTCCCTGCGGGCGCAACGGTGTCTTGCTGTTAAAGTTAACACATACCATTCGTCGGCGAACATGCAGACCTACAGCCTGAAGGCAGTTTTGGACAGTTTGTGTCGAAATTGTGGTGCCAGTAGCTGAGGGAAGCTGTTGCTGAAGAAGAGTGTCATGCTTTTTTCGGTGTTTCTGAGCAGTTAGCGTTAAATAACGGTCTTCATTGGGTGTTGTTACACATCTACGTTCTTGCCCTGATCTTCAGCCTCCAATTCCAGTTTCTAAAAAACGGTTCCAGATCCTGGAAATCATACTTTGAGAAACTCCAATGGCTTCTGCTACTTCGACTTGTGTTTGTCCCCCCTTTAACCGGCCAACAACTCTCAAAGTTTCATTTTCGGTTAAATGACTTTGTTGAGACATCTCACTCACCGAAACAACGCGCTTACTGAATGTCGATTTTCGACTATTATTATTAACTCTCTATTATTTATATTATATAAGGAATAATGAGATTTTGAGCTTTAAGTCAGAAGCTCCATCATGAGTAGTAGTGAGGAAGAAGATTCCACCTCGGAGGATTTTGACGAGTCATTTGACCTTTCGCAAAAATAATGGTCAAAAGCAGACGTTGATTTAAACTGCGCCATTTTTAAAATTCATTGAAGCAAACTTAAATAAGAAATTGACAGCAACTCTCTGCAACTTAGACAACGAGCTAACGAAGATCACCTTCAACTACAACGACTTGGTTAATAAGCAAAATGAGATCCTGGCCTACATGAAGGGCGTCCAAGATGAAGCGCAAAGTGCTTTAAACGAAATGATCCTGAAAAGTACCAAAAAAGTGCAAAAATTGTATGCAAAAATATCTAAGACCAACATTTAATCCGGAGCCCCTAAGGCTGGGTCGGATCATGCCCTCGTTGTTCGTCCGACATTGGATTGCACCTCAGAGGAGACCGAGGGGTCTATAAAAGCTCATATAGATCCCACCGAACTCTAACTTGAAGTTAAAGGAGTAAGGAGAATTAGAAACGGAGGAATTGCTATCAAAGTGATCTCCAAACATGACGTGTGGAAAATCAAGGAATAAATAGAAGAACAGGGCCTTGGCACCGTTTTTACGTACTTAATATCAACAACAAAAATTACCAAGAGTCATTGTTTTTGACATCGAAAATGAAATGAATAGAGAAGAGCTTGAAAAAAAGCTGAAAGACCAAAATGAAGAACTAGAGAAAGAAAAAATTTAAAATCTGCTTTTCAATCAAAAGTAAACAGGGGAACCAATGGATAATGGAATTAGATCCGAAAACTTGTAAGAAATTGATGCGAAAATCAATATTTAAACTCGGTTGGAACATTTATAAGGTCAAGGAATTCCTTAGACTACTGAGGTGCAACCAATGCAACAAGTTCGGACATATGGCGAAGGACTGCCAAGGTCTGAGCCAACTACGGAGAAGAAAGACATAGAATGAGTACCTGCAAAGCCAAAAGTAAGTGTGTGAACTGTGTTGCTGCAAACAGCAAGTAAGGGCTAGATTTAAATAACCATCCAGTTAATAGAAGACCATCCAGTTAATAGAAGATTTTGTCCATCGAATCAACTCGAAGTTGCCAGACTCCAAGGCAACATAAAATATTAATTATCCCTCTTTTTTCCAGCCGACTCAAGATGGCCTCCAACCTCTTCCAAGGTTGCAAATTCATTGTAAATACCATCACGTTTGTAAGACCACCAAGTTGGTGGTCGCTTTTTCTGTTTGGTTGAAATCAATAAAGTTCAGAAGGTTTCAGAAACTTTCCAGCAGGTTGTAGCAGGCTGGGGGCTGTCTCTCCTGTTGGGCCTGCAACTGGTTTGACACCGCTGCCCTGTGGTTCTGAATTCGGAGCTTGCTCCTTTTCAGTCTCCTCTGCCTGTTTGCGTGATTTAGTGTTGCTATTTGTATAGCGTGACTCGGGTCATGCACCTTAGTGTCCATGCGCCACTGGGTTCACTGTATTGATTCGAGGTACTTGCGCAACACCGGGCCACCGGTTTTCCTGGATGCCTCCTGTGGGGGCAGATAGGGTTAAGCTTCATTTATTTATTATTATTATTATTTTGAGCAGAAAGACAAAACAAAATGTTTCTCTTCTAAGAAAGAAAAACCTTTACCCTTCCCCACGGCGGTGAAATTAAGAATCACACCCGCTATTAGAAAAAATTGTCAAACAGGAGAGTGGTTCTTGAAGCCTTCCTGAATTAGAAAATCAAGAACTGAGCTGATCTTCTCCCCAAATCGCGTATTCGAGCGTTGCTTACGCGAATAGACTTGGGTAAATCGAAAAGTAATCCCTAGATGGCAGGATATTTAATTGTAGCAGATTCTAGTCTGAAATATACCATAACATATTTTTTATTCTTTAATTTCATTTAAAAAAAAATCATATTAGTTTGCATCTTTAAAATTTTTATGACTTGTGTGAAAGGAGTTTAAGTTTGGGGTCTGCAGGTACAATTCTTTTAATTATGATTTCTGATCTTTAAATTTCAAATAAGAAATTAATAAGCTTTAAAAGAAATCCAGTTAGAAAAATAACTAGTGGGGAAAAAAGATTTTCAAAGGAGCCTGCTATGCGAGATTCAATTGGGTATACTATAGCCTACGTCACAGGTTGTGTTATTCCTACTAAATTTAACTCATGAACGGCATTTTCTGCGAGCCTAACTTTAAGCCACAAATAAACAAACGAAGTGTTTGATCGTTTAAATAGCTGCTCGCCAGATTTTATTGCATTATAAAGAAAAGTAATTGATATTCGATTTTTGATTAATAATTGATTTATGTGGATAGTGGCATAGAATTTAGCATTGCGTCATGGTAAATATTATTCCTACTAAGTGGAAGTAGTTGTGTTTGTTTTATATTATACCCAATTGATGGAATATGCATGAATAATGTGCAGTGGGGATTAGCATGATTTAGATTTCTTCTTTGAGACACAATTGAGAAAATTTTGTTTTAAGCGAAGTTTTAAATTCACAGAAACAGGTAGCTCGAATCGTACTTAATACAGCAGTTGTTTTTATATTTGTTTTACTTTCGTATTTCGATTTTTATGTTTATGGAGGAGTTAAAGTTCAATGGCTCACCTGTGGAAGTGAATGACAGCTGAATTCAAGTAGACCATATGGTTCACTGCTCCTCATGAAGTAATTAATTTCTATTATTGTTTGTTAACAATAATTGGTATTATTGCTTTTTTTAATGATTGAGCAAGCTATTTTCTTTGATTTCATTATGGTAATTAAAAATTTTGCGAACAGAAAATTATATTGTTATTTTATTGAGGTTATAGAATAAAGTATTTTATCTTGTATTAATACGGAATTTTCATTAGTTTTTTCTGAGATGTATATTTTAATAATTTCTTAAGTTCTTTTTTTTCTCTTTCGTAATAATTCATAATTTATTTGTTCTGTTCTTTAAAGTTTATAAAGCATTGAAAACTTTTTTAGAAATAAGAAAAAAAGAGATTTATTTGCAATATTTAATAATTTTGTATTGAAATTTTATAAATTTTATTACAAAATTTTCTAAACTTTCCTTACCATATGTTTTGCTTAATTGCCTTTTTTAGCTCAATATCTTGAAATTACTTATTTTCTATTTAATGCTTGCATAGTAAATTTTTCTTTTTTTCAATTATCTATTTTTTAAATATCATTGATATTTTTTTAAATTTAAATTGTAAGATATTTCATTACTGTTTAGTAATGAAATACCTTATAAAATTGTAAGGTAATTTAAATCACTCAATCACTTTCATGATAACCCTTGGAACTGCTTTCTTAGCTTTTATAAATTATTTTTTAATCCATGAATTCTCAATCATTTCACTTCTCAGACCAATAGATGTTGATAAAGCAGCAGAAATTCAAGATGTTGGAAGGAATTTAAACTCATTTCTTGTGCTCGAATTGTGAATTAGAAATCCCTAAAGATTTAGTTGCTAATATTTGCTTGAAAGGTTTGAATATTATAATTGCACTGTTTCTTTGAAATAAATAATTACAATAGTTTATTTGAGAAATATGATAAAAAAAATATTGAAATATTAGGATCTATTTTAGCAGAAATAAAATTTTGACAAGTATTTTATCACAAAGTGACATGTGTTAATCACCTATCTCTCGCAAGCAGGCATAAAGTATCAAAAAAATAAAGTAATAAAACTTCATATGCCATAAATGAGTACTTCATGAGAAAAGTATATATTAATTTTGAGTAGGGATATAAAGAACAGTGATATAGCCAAATATTGAATATTTGGCAAAGAAAATCTACTGAATATTGAATATTCTGCAGCCAAATAGCAAAAAAAAAAAATTTTTTTTTTTTTAAATCTTTAATAAATATTATTTTTTGTGTATAAATAAGTTCAGTTATTATTAAAAAAAATCAAAACTAAACTCCATTATTGGTATGGGATGAAAGGAAAAAAACTGTAATAATTATTCATTAGATATATTTAAGGTAAATAAAAAACTGGCTAACAGCTATTAAAAGAACTCTAAAGTTGTGAAGTTGAAAAAAAGAAGAATGGAAAAAATCATTTTAATTCTGAAAACAAAACTTTAAAAAAAATTTCCAGAAAAAAATATCCATAGAAGACTAAAAAGATATAGTTTATTAGAAACGCTTTTAAAAAGGCTAAAGAAAAGAAAGAAAAAAGATTTTATACAAAAGCAAAACAGAAAAAGTAGAAATCAATCTTAATTTTTGAAGGAAAATTTTAAGGCTGAAAATCTATTTTCCAAATAGAGTGTTTTCAATGAAAAAAATAAAGTCAAATAGAAACCCTCTTAATTTTTGTACAATAATAAAAAGGTTGATAAAAAAGTTTTTAAAAAGGATAAAGCTGGATAGAAACCAAAACAAAAAATCATTCTTAATTTTTGAACGAAAAATTCAACGTTAAAAATCTTAATTTTTATTTCTTTTACATTGCAGTATTTTTAGAAAAAGTGACGATAAAAAAATAACCTTCATTAGAAATGCCTTTGAAAAATTCTGTGTCATATTAAAACGCTGATAAAAATAATTGCTATTAAAAAGCAAAGGTAAAACAAAAAAAAACTGTTTATTCTTAAAATATTAACATAATTATATTAATATTATTTAGAATTGTCCTAATAAATTCTTAAAACATTAAAAATCACAGTTCTCTATGTTATCAATTATCAGTCTTAGTGTAGAGTTAAAAGATGACTATAAAAGAATAACCTATTAGAAACGCTCCAATAAAATGCAACGTAATTATTAAAACAGAAAAAAATGCATTCTCAACTCTTAAAAAAAAAGTGTTCAAAAAAGCAAGGAAATTGACTTATCTGAATGCAATTTTTTTAAAAAAAAGCAACAGTGCATAGCTTGTGGTTCAAATTTCTAATCTTGTTTATAAAGTAATCTTGTTTGGATTCTTTAATTTTCCATTTGTCTTGTAGAACATAAATTGGAAAGTTTTAGAACTTAAATATGTGTAAGAACTGTTTCTAATGTATAGTGAAAAATATGATTGTGGAATATTTTTTCTTAAATCTATTCAAATTAAAAATAAAAAAAACACTTTGTCGAAAAATAGTTTTTAAAAAAACCATTTACCTAATTTCGGTTTTACTAATACTAATAATTCTTTTTTAACAAATTAAATAATGTTAAGACAATGTAAATGTTATCAGAAAAGATATGAAGGTCTAAAATTAGAAGAATTTGCAGTATGTTTTAAATGCCATTTTTGCTTTGTAAATATTGCAAGAATGCTTTGCAAGCATTAGTTTGGTATAAAAAGGTTTTTTAAAAATATTAGTGCCATTAGTAATTATTTTCCAGAATTGTGAAAAATCTTGCTTGTTATAAATTATGAAAGTTAAAAAAAAAAGAAAATTAAAGCTGTGTACCATTTTTTGCATGGAAAATTTATAACATGGCTTACAAATTTTTTGTTTCTTCCAAAAAATTATTTTAAAAATAGTACTTAATCGCTGGAGTTTAAAACTGTTTGCAAGTCATTTAGTAAGTCACCACAAATAAAGCTGCTGGTTTTTAATTATAGACTGTAATTCAGCAATTTAAATCATCGACACCTTACAATTAAACCAATTCTTTATTGCCATTAAAAGAACAGTCTTTAAAAGCACTGTTTTCTATAGCTGTATTAATCTAACCAATATAATTTTTGAGACTCACAGTAATTTATAATTGTTATTTTAGCATTTTTAACTGTGTAACATGACAATTGACAAAGATGTTTCTTCAACTAATAAACCAATCGACTGGGAGAGATATGGCCTGTGTAGTGAACCTGCCAGTGAGCAGGGACCACTTCTGGGTTCGTGGGGAGAGAGGGAAGGCAGCTCACACTTTCATGATAGAGGAGCCAAAGAAGAGTTATTTCAGGAAAATGAGGTAATTTTATTTATATCATTATGAAAGACATAAATAATCGGTAATTTTTTTCTATATGTTGTTGTCGTCTGCCATTAAGGTAGAGTGTTTGTGATTGTTCTTGTTTTCCAGTGGTGCCATTTATGGCCAAGAATAGGATTTCTGTCACACCTGTTTATAGGGCGGACCCACTCATACATCCATTCATTCATCCACATATTGTAATTTTGACCTGAACCAGAGGACAATCAATCTACAATTCAGTACCTGCAGAAGTATTTATTTGCTATGGGAACATAGAGGACTTGGTGACCAGGCAGATTTAATGTGCATCAGTCACCAATTACAATACAAGGAGTCTTAGGCTGGCCGGCTCCCGTTCTCACAAACGTGAGTTCAACCCCCTGCCAACCAGACTAGTACCTCGGCCATTTTCTGTATGTGGATTTGGAATTTGTGTTTGGCTGTTTTGAAATTTTATTTTTTTTTCAATTATTCATTAGCCAGTAATCATGATTTTTTTTAGAGAGAGATATAAAATAATTCACTAGACTTCCTTAACCCTTACAGCATTGTGAACGGAATATTTCCTGTCACATTGTCTAATGTGGAAGGGCCACTTACAACCAATAAAAGAACAACATTCTCACTTCTCGCAAATTTGATTCAAAATGTTTCTTTGGAAAAGAGAACATTTTTAGTTCATTTTTTTAAAAGATAGTGCAATGATTAATCAATTAAAAAACAATAATTATTTCTGTAAAAGTTAATAGATAAATATAAATTTTTACCACTGAATTTGTTGTTTATTTTTATAATTTTGAAATAATGTATATTTTAATTAATTTAAATTACAGTAGAAGTCCATTAGTCCGGCATCCAACAGTCCGGAATGCCCGATAGTCCGGCATCGCTCCGGAAAATTGTAAAAATTTTGGTTTTCTCCAAAAGTGTGTCTTTAAAGCAAATAAAAACGCTCGAGAGCTATTCGGAAGTTTTCGGGGTAGTTCGGGATCATCCGGAAGCGCTCGGTACTAAAGCCATCCTTCTTTTGGACAATTGCAAAGCCCACCCGCCAGTAGATGAGTCAGTTTCTGGAAATATTGTTGCTACTCTGCTCCCACCTAACGTAACATCTTTGATTCAACCCATGGGTTATTCAAAATTTTAAATGCTTTTATAGAAGGTCTTTTATTCAAGGCCTGTTAAATGCCGACTGTGACGTGACTGATTTTCAAAAAAAGTTTACAGTAAAAGATGCCGTCTATGCTATTGCACTGTCTTGGAACCAGGTAAAAAATACAACACTCCAAAAATGCCAAAAGTCAAGAAAACAAAAAGACATTCGTGACTTTTTTAAATCTAAGTGAAATATGTTTTACAGTACGTGTACATACATTATATGAAATGTAAAATAAACTTTGTTGTATGTATTTGCTAGTTTAATTATTAACCTAATTGTTCGTATAATTACCGCCCGATAGACCGGAATTTTCGGTAGTCCTGCACCGAGCCGGTCCCGGACGTGCCGGATTATCGGACTTCTACTGTATTAAAAATTCTGAAGCTATGGCATGGCAACAAATGAAGCAGTAGTTGTGAGTAATCATTGCAATTTGGAATAGCTTATATCTGTCGATGATCATATGTTTGCTTGTATTTTGCTATACCTTTTTTTCGTATTCTTTGTTGGATCTGTCAGATATGCTATTCAATTTTATCATTGTATTTATGTTATTAACTTTGATAGTGATAGGTAAATTAACAATGATTAGCTATTGGAGAACAGAATGTCTTCTAAAAATCTGTCTTTGTAATCATGTATTTTTTAATATTTTTTTTTCTTAACCTTACAACACATTCAAATCAAATCTCTTTCTGTAATTTTTTTGATCTATGAAATTTCCAATTAATCCAAATTCCAAATTTATTATTAAGTATTTACTGCTCTTCTTACAGTTTTACGTAGTCAAATTACATTGTTTTTTTCCCCATTATATCTTTCTACAAAAATGGTTATAGATATATCTTTGTTTCTTTTAACAAGATCTTTTTTTCATTGTTTGCTTTTCAGAAAATATATCACTATCTCTCAGATGCAAATTTAGCAAAATATTTAATATTTTTAGCTGCCTTAAAAGTTTATTGCTGTTTAATTTGAAGTGTCCTCTTATATTGTTTTTTATTTTCATTTCAGTTAGCAAACAGCAAGCCTTGGTGGAAAGCTAATTTCTTCCTGTCTGAACCAGTTTTATTTGGCGTTTGGGATGGTGTATTTACTTCATGCATGATCAACTTGTTTAGTGTTATCATATTTCTTCGAGTGGGATGGATTGTTGTAAGTGGTTTTATACTTTTTTGTACTAGCGCATATACTGTCTATCCATTTTAATATATTTGAATACCAAATCATGATGTGAGTCCATTTGTTTAAATGGGAGATTTAGGGTATCTGTGCATCTGGAAAGTCATGAGAAATCATGGAAAGCCATGAATTTCGGTATTGAACAAAATTTGTCATGATTTTAACTATTATTTTTTAAAAAAATCATGAAAAGTCATGGATTTAGGGTGTTGAAGAATCAAATTTTTAAAATGGAATTTTATCCCCCTAATTTCATGGTGTTCCAAATATCTGAATTTGTAACAAAATCCCCGCTCACAGTCATATTTTATTAAAATATAATATGAAATAATTTAATATAAAATAAATTAAACGATAACTAAATGCTATAATAAGGTAGTGTTTAGATGAGAAAAAAATTTTAAAAATAGAAAGTTAAGGTAAAAGTCAGTGAATTTTAATCACAGCCATAATATTTTGAGTGAATTTGGCTCTTTGAGCTACATCAGAGCTCTTCTATTGTACGTTAGCAAGCAAAGTCAATCTTCTGAGATTAATTATTAGTAAATGTGTGTTCGAAGAAGGACCTTGTAGTTCTAAAGATTTCAAAAAAGGCCTTAAAATTAAAAGAACACCTTAAAATCTCAAAAATTTTCCTAAATTTTAAAAAAAGCAAATAAGTTTGAAAATGCAATTTTCATTAAGACTTAGAGGTTGGGCAGCTCCAAGGAGCAGTTCACATCGACCAAAGATCTATTGTACCCAAACCCTAAATCATGATTAACAAGAAAGCCTTATGGCTGAAATGAAGTTCAGCAAACACCTGACAGAAACGTCTTGCAGTTCCCAGGCCCTAATGCAATGTTGCCCTAATTGCTCAAATCTCTGAGCAGAATAGACCTCACACTCACAGAGTATGTCTTGAAGTCTCCTTTTCACGATGACAATCTCTACAAAGAGGATTAGATTCAATACCTATTATATTTAGGTGTCATTAAAGTTGGGTAGATTAAAATATTAAGCTATATTAAAAAAAGAGGATTGTTTATTAGGAGGACTTTGTTCTAAGTATACTACAAAAAGGTACAGAAATGGACAATTTATTGTTTGTCCTATAAACAAGAACCTTTCTCAGTATCTAAACATCAAATATTTAGTTTAGGATGGTTCTTGTTGTTTAGGGACCTTAAATTATGGTATGATATCATTTCACTGGTGCTTTGTGGTGTTATTAAGCTATATTGTTTTGAAAAATGAAATTGCTTTTATGTAGGGTAATGCTGGGGTTGTTCAATCAGTAGGAATTGTGATCATCACTGTCCTCATTGGAATAACTACAGTCTTGTCTGGTATTGGTATATGTGATAGATGTCATCTGGAAAGGGGTGGCGTGAATTTCCTTCTTTCACACATATTCGGAGCACGCACTGGGGGAGCCATCAGCCTCATCTACTGTTTCGGTCAAGTAAGTATCGATACAACAGTTTTTTTTTAAAGTTTTTAAAAAGCACTTTTAATTAATAGTTTAAATTAAAGACTCCCAGTGTCTAAATGGTAGTGCTTCTCGCTCTTGTGCCACAGGCCCTTGGTTCGAACCTCAGGCTGGGCAAGGTTAACTCAGCCTTTCAGTGGATCGATAAAATGAGTACCAAGCATGCTTTGGGACTAAACACTGGGGTTCCGTGCTCGGCTGAACACCCAACCGGAACATCTGCTCTTGTACCCCAGGGCCCAAGGTCAAGAAATCTGAGGTGGAGACAGTAGGACATGACCCTCTTATGGGCTGCCGTGTCACTGAGTTTAGTTTAAATTTTTAAAAAAATTCATTTAACAGTTTAACATTTTTTAAGAAAGTTTTTCTCTTTGTGAAACAGTAAACCTCTGTTTATACATTTTATACAATTTTTACTTTTGTATGTAATTTTATTACAGTACTGATTCGTTTTTTTCTCTTACAGCAAAGAAAAACTTTATTGATATATCAAAGAATTTGTCTATTATCATTCATACAACACAAATAACTGTTTCTGAAATGTATAAACCGTAAATCACTGTTTCTGCATTTCTAATTTATAAAATTTTTGCATTTATGTGCAATTTCATTATAGTACTGATTCTTTTTTTTTCTCTTATAACAAAAAAATACTTTATTGATGTATCATAAAATTTGTCCATTATCATTCATACGACACAAAACACTATGTTGTTGGGTTTTAATTTTCATGGTTCTTATTGCAGAAATAGCAGTCTTTAATTTGGTGATTCATTTTATGGCAGATGAAACATTTCTTTTTATTTTTTTTTTTCCTGTTTTTGTTTTACTTCTTTTCTAGAAAAATAATTTTTTAATTTTAATACTGTTTTCTTCCTCTCTCAGGATTTCTAAAATTTTATCAATTTGTTTATCACGTTAGATTTTATTTAAAATTTTTTTTATAAACCTCTAACAGTATAAAAAACAAGCTGTATTTTCTTATTTTATAGTCAAACTAATTTTTACTTCAGTTTTTTTTTCTTCGATGCTTGATATTCCTTTTTGTCATTTTCTGTTTTTAAATTTTATAAAAATTTTATTATAATTAAAAATGTACTAGATAATGGAGTAATAAAATTTATCTTAATTCTAATTGATGTGAAAAGTGTAATTAGGTTTTTGGTAACTATTTCTGAATCATTCCATTGAAATTTGAAACTCTAGTATTTTTGTTAATTTAACTTTCTGACTAATATTTGTTTAGCCTTTTGTGATAATAAGTAAGTGCTGCAAAATTATAATTTTAATGGAATTTTTTAACAGTAAGTTATTTTTTTGTTTTCTTTTAAAAAAATACTGTTGTAATTTTTTTAAGATATATTATTAGACTTTATTTTTTAGAAAATTTATGCATGTTTTGAATACCATTTTCAAGTATTAACTTTGATAATTTGCATGTTTTAGTCTGTAAGTTGCGCACTTCATGTTATGGGCTTTGCAGAATCCTTTTCACAAGTTGTTGCCATCACTGATGCTTGGGCCACTCGAGGTGTTGCTGTTGGAATGATAACTTTACTTTTAGGTAATTTTTTTAAAAAATAAAATGATATATATACAGTCAGACCTCGATATAAGGTCATCCGCATATTAGGTCACCCCGCATGTAAGATCACTTTTCCAAAGTCCGGGCTCACTGAATAGGAATTCTTTGTTATAGATTATCGGATATATGGTCATGTTTCAAAAACCTTTATCGCTTATAAGGTCATTTTTACTTGAGGCGAGGGGAGCTCTTTTCTAACAAAAGCCTATTTAACTTCCTTACAAGGCGATTACCCCTCTTGAGAGAGTTTCCACCCCCAGTTCACAAAGAATCCCAGCTTTCACTGCCATTAATTGCTCGTCCCTGTCCATACTTCCAGGGAAGGGGGGGATTTCGCCGTTCGGGCGAGAACAATGGATAAGTTTTCCCATCGCGTCACGTGACCATTTGCTGACCACACCAGAGGAAAGAATTTCATTCGAACCTCTCTCATAGTGTCATCATGTTGGCAAAGAGGAACACGTTTACTTTATCAGAGAAAGAAAAAATTGCTGAGGATTTTGAAAATTCAAATTTATCAAAAGCACGTTTTGCGGAAGAACGTGATGTACCACGCACCACCTTAAACAATATTCTGTCTTCTCATCGCATTGGAAATGGAAAAAGAAAAATAATGCTTTTTTCCCCTTGTGAGAAAGTTGAAGAGGCCATTCTCCAATGGATAAAAATGGTTAGAGCTCAAAATGTTCCGATATCGTGTTCAGTACTGAAGGAAAAAGCTCTGCAAATAGCCGCGGAATTGGGAGAACCTAATTTTATGGCAAGCAATGGATGGATTCAGAGATTCAAAGTAAGGCATGCTTTAACTTTCAAGACAGTATGCGGTGAAGCCGGAGGTGTTGACGAAACCGTTTTGAATTACTGGAGGAAATCTTTGTTAAAAGATGACATCTTGAAACGGTATAAGCCATGCGATGTATTCAACGTCGACAAATGTGGTCTTTTTTTCCGAGTCTTACCTGAAAAAACTCTAGCGTTCGAAAATGAGAAATGTGTACGTGACAAAGTAAAGAAAGACTTACAGTGTTTTTAGGGTCCAATATGGATGGCTCTGAAAAATTGAGATCTCTTGTTATTGGTAAATTCCAAAAGCCACGTTGCTATACAAACGTTAAATCTTTACCAGTGGATTACGACGCTGACAGAAAAGCGTGGATGATCATCACCATTTGGGAGAAAACAATACGGTGTTTAGACAGGCAGTTTGTGAAGAGGAAGCAAAAAGTTGTACTCATAGCAGACAATTGCACAGCTCATACCAACATCCCACAGTTAGCCTCGATTGAGCTTGTTTTCTTGCCTCCCAATGTGACCAGCATTCTCCAACCATTGGATCTAGGAGTTATTCAAACCCTAAAAGTGAACTATCGTAAGCTCCTCCTGAAGAACTTAATCGCTGCCATCGACCAAAAAAAGGAGTTTCACGTTACTGTCTTGGATGCCATTTTCTATGTTCACAAAAGTTGGAACATGGTGTCCACCACATGCATAGCGAATTGTTTTTGTCATGCTGGTTTTGTGAGTTCTCTGAATATCGTGGGTGACGAAACCGAAGAAGAAGACGATATTCCTCTATCTGTTTTGATGGAATATTTGAAAAATCGTGGCCATGCCATTGAAGGGGAGGCTGAATATGGTTTGGTTGATGAGGAAATTGCTCCACTTCTGGAGCTACAATTTCTGAAATTGTTTCACAAGTTTCACAAATTGTGGACAGTGAGGACAATGGCAGTGATCCTGAGACTGTAGTTGTAACCCAAGTGGAAGCCTTCAATGCAATAAATGTCTTACAATTTTTTTTTACAAACCATGAGGGAGCTGAGGAACATTTTGAGAAGTTACAAAACCTAGAAAACATTGTTCGAAAAATGAAACCAAAAACGAGACAGACCTGCATAAATGATTATTTTAAATAAGGTAAGATGTAATGTATGTATGTACACTTTGAGGAAACTTGTAAACAGCTTTATTTTAAATTAAATTTTTAAAAAAAAATCTAACTTTCTTTAATTCTTTACTAGTTCTGTTAAAATGTATTGACTTAAATATTTAATTTATTAACTTAAATATTAATATTTTAATTTATTGACTTAAATATTTATTTTTCACTTGTAATACCATTTATAAAAATCATAATGTGTACTATTTACATGCTTAGTTACGAACTGCTAATGAATCGGTTAAAAGGTCACCCCGCTTATTAGGTCACTTTTGCGATTCCCTTAGGGTGACCTTATATCGAGGTCTGACTATATATATATATAAAACATAAAAAGCTTCTATTAATCTTTTTATATTAGTTTCTTTGCTGTAAAACAATTCCTAATTTATTATTCAAATTGAAAAACTTTCTCATACTTTTAAAAATCCACATCCAAGTTCTTACATCTGTTTTTCGCTCAAGTATGCATAATTAAATGTAAACACATTTTTCTCCTTGTGGGAATCGTACGACCTTTTTCATAAACCAATAGTAATATTTTGCAAGATTTTCCCTACCAGACAGACTGATCGTCAATAGAGTAAACTTCACTTTTCGCTCCTCATCCATTTGAAAATGATCTATTAAAAATTCTTTTGCTTTCATTAAAATCCTGTGTCTGTTTTCCTGATCAGTCTGACTGCATCATTTTACATGTATCTATGTATGTATGTGTGTATATATATATACAGGGTGTCCTAAAAGGTCGTTTACAAACTTAACATGCTGGTCTGTCATATCATGATGAACAAGATTTACAAAGGAACTTGTGTCCGAAAATTTAAACTGAGACCGCTAGAGGGCGATAAGTGCAGGTTTGGATGAGGAGAAAAAAAATGATATCGATAGCGGTGTTAATATGATTTTTATTATAAAACATCATTACATCACAGCAAATGCTCAAAATTCCTTCCATTCGCCACAATGCACGTTTCACAGCGTCGGCGCATGGATTCACGAACCCGTTCAAATTGGCCAGGAGTGTCACGGACACGTGCTGCCGCTTCCGCGATCCTGGCGATAAGATCCATGTCCGATGTTACAGGTGTCTCGTACACTATGGACTAGAAGTCGCCTTAAGCTAGAAATCCCCCAAGTCTATGTAAGCCGCAAGCTGATCTCTGTGCACGACGAGGAAGCAGTGGGGATTTCCCGGGAGAGAGCGTGATGGAGAACGAACCAAAAAAGACGTGATGATATGCACTCCAAAGAGGAGTTATACAAAACTTTTAGACGAACTCTCATTTATTATTTTTTTGTTATTTAATCGTTAATTGTTAATCGTCCGTCCAATGTAAATTTAATCTTCAATATATATGTTTTTGTTTAAGAACGTGTCTTTTATTTAAGACGACCACTCATGCCGTCCCCACATATAT